AGAAGATTGTCTTAGCACATTTGGAAATTACTAAATTCACTTTTGAGAAGGTGACATTACAAAACTCATACATAGATAATTAAACTCATAAATAGACAATTACGTTTTTATCTATGTGTTGGCGCCTGATTAATATGATGACTGCAAGTTTCCCAAAGGACCATTATTTTCAGTCGACACAACATCATCAATGAAGAATTTAGAAGCAGAAGAAGCCATTGCAGTAGTATGTGGTGCTGAATTATTACAAAATTTGTGATGATATAGGTTTAGCAAGCGAGTGGTATTTTAGAGGTGACTCATGAAAGAAAATCACGATAAAATTTCACACATGACATACCGATAAAGGAGCATTTATACAAAATTCAAGTAATTGTATGTTGCGGTTTTGTGCAGGTATTGGCGTAGTGGAGTATTTGACGGTTATATTGATTCAAAATGATAGAGATAACTGGGGGATCAACATAAAGGTAAAATAACTAAAATTAGTTCACGAAGGTAATTTACAACAATGAAGCACAAATATAAATGAATTGATGAATTACAAGTCATGTGAAAGTTGGGGTAAAAAAAATTATTCATTAGAAACAAATCTAAAAAAGAAAATTCTTATGGGAAGGAGGAGATCTCATGGCAGCAATTTAGCAATGCATGTATGTAAGGCGGTGGTATTGAATCGGTAGTAAATCGATCACCGATGAGTTGGATTTAGATTGAGGCACCATGAGGAGATTTTATGAATTAGGAAAGAGGGAAGAATTCCAGGTTTTGTGGGATAAGAGATTAGAAGAGGGGAAGACCAAAATTTGCCGAGGAAGTGAGATTTGAGGTAACTGTCTGCTATTAGGAGAGGAGAAATGGTGCGATTAAGTTCAGTCTGGCTTCTAGGAAAAAACAATTGGGGGAAACAGTGTCGTTTAGCTTAGGAATGGCCGGTTTTTTTTTTCCTTAGTTTTAAATTTTTTTTATTATATGGATTTGAGTGAGGAGACTTTTAAAGATATTAGGACACTTGTTTTTTTAGGAGAAAAGTGATTTTTGTTATAATAGGAGTTATTATAGATATGTCTTGTGGGCTAGCTCCGGAATGCTGATGGTTTTAGCTGGGCCTTGGATTAGAGCATCCACAATGGTAGTTTATAGGGAGTTTATACTGACAAAGTGGCCCACGGTTTATCTATAAACAAGAAAAAATCCATTGTGACCAAATATTTGGAGAGAGAAAGTTTATGAATATAAACCAAGAAGAGAGGGAGGTGTAGGATCAATCATTAAAAGTGGTTGGAAAAAAATATTTAATATATTTATTCAATTAGTGGCCCACTATTTTAGTTCATGTATATGAACTAGTTTATGGTTGAAGATGCTCTTAGTGTTGGTTCCATTAATCCATGCTGGGTTAATCACTTCATTAATGATGATTATGGTAGTACGTAGACCAATGGAAGAAAGGCAAAGTCTAGAATTGCATTGTATTATTTTTTGCAATCCTTTCTTTCTTACTTCTAAATCACAATTCACAACGCTAATCTAAATTTATATTATGTAAGTTGTATCTTAAAACACCAGAAAGTGCACGCTCAAAAACGTTTGAGAATATATGAAAAAAAGAGAAGAAGATATACATTTTTACATTAAGATACTATAAATAATTGACTGAAAAAATTTTGTAATCCCTCCGTTTTACAAAAATAGTTCACATTGAATTTTGAATTTTATACCGTTTCAGTACAAATTTGAAAACTCAATGTGAACATTTTTTTTTTTTGGGATGGAGGTAGTAATTTTTAGTCTTCTAACGATTTTTCAAACTTATACGATTTCTAGTTTTCCACCACGGATTATCACTTCTTCAACCTCTTTTCCCAAAGTTGATTGTAACTTTATTTCGTGCATGGTCAGTGTCCCAACAATCGTAGTTCAAAAGCCTAGCTAATTCACGACTTATTGGGTCAGGCTTTTAAGGTAAATGTTTGATTTTCTGCCGGTTTTTAGGGCGGCTTGGGTCAGTAAAAGCATTGACAATTGTAACAGTTAAGCGACAGACTATATCATTACTAAACCTTCCAAGGTTTTGGTTATCATGCGCATGAGTGGGGATGGAAATTAATCATTTCTTCCCCTTTCTAGATCCAACTTTCTAAAGTATAATTATTTCTATCATTAATATTTCCCCTTTTTCTGGGTATAAATAAACCTAGATGTTTGGCCGGTGCCTTTGGTTCAAACTTCATATGGTGGTGCTTCTTTCAGTCATTACAGAGTCCTTCAAACTGTAACTATAAAGTCACCGATCCTATTTCCAAAGAAACTTAATCGTTGACTAATGACATAAGCCAGGATGTAAGCAAAGATCATGACATAAGCATGGAAGAGGATAATTAAGAAACAGTGGAAACAATTTAATACGGTTTCATTAGATTTTAATTGATTAGATTGTTTAACAGGAAAAGATTGATGAACTGAATGTAGAAATGTGAACAAGGGATGAGGACAAAATGTATATGAAACTAAAAAAAGTAAAACCTTAATGGGTGTGACTGCGAACAAACATCAATATAGAATAATAATTTTTGTACACATCATTGGAGTTTTTACCATTATACATTTGTAGTGTGTAAAGGAATATTAACAATGTATTAACTTTCGTCTGCATAAAAGTAAATAAAGGAATTGAAACACTTTGACAGTTCATCGTACATTGTACGTACGTGCGTCCAAAATATTTGTTTTGACTCTGGTGACTTTCCAAGAACTTAATTCAACTGCGGAAATAGACGCCAGCTTGAAACTGCAGCTTTACAAAAAGGGGTTAGAGAAAAGGAAAAACAAAGGCTTCTGAAGACGAAGAATGTAAGTGTATGGCAACAACACAATGAGAAAAAACTAATTCCTTACTTCCCAAAACAATAAGTATTTTCTGGTTATTACGAATTTTTTTTTTTTTTTTTTTTTGGGTTACATACATATGAAAGCTTTGTTCTGCATTAAAATCATACATATAGATCTCTATGTCTATGTTAGTTTTGGACCTTTTGTTTCGATGTTGTTCGGATAATAATTTGTTGATAAAAGTGACACAGGGCAAGAATAGAATCTATAGTAAACAGTTGTTTGAGACGTCACAGGCTCTGTGTGTTCTACACAAAGTTGCAAGGGCCCGGTCCCAATCAAATTGATTGGAACAAGTCCAAAGTCCAAACTAATATACCATGTCGAAATTAGGCCATTAATTAATTATAAGAAGAAGAACTAGTAGTAGAAAAAACAATAAGTATTGAAAAGGCATCAAATATAAGCTACATAGAGAATTGACTGGAAGTCCATAAAGGCAAACTATAGACATAAAAAAGTTTAGTTAGAGTTTACCAGGTCAATATATATATATATATGTATATATATTCAAGGAATATGAATGTTCATGCATGGTGAGACGCCCAGCTGGTAAGAGACAAAAGCAAAAGAAGATCAGGGTAATCAAAATTGGGGTCCATATTTGAGACACTGACTCATTTCCTTTGTGCAACATAAAGAGGACTTCAATTAACCCTAAAAAAAGAAAGAAGTGGACCGTTTTCTATATTTTTTTTTCTTGGTGTGGGTATGTTCAAATGAGTAGGTCAATCAACCTCATGAAGAAGGAATAATTTTCAGTGATTCAAGTTAAGATCAAAGTGACAAATTCCGCAGAAAATTAAGAAATTAATGAATGTATACGCCGCGTGAAAGAAAAAAAAAATTTGCACCGGAATTTAGTTCTATTCATAAAGACTAGCTAGCGATAAGTGATCTTGGAGGGCTCTTTTTAATGTTGATTTCAGCTTCAAAGTTTTATCCACTAAAATTTTTGTCTACACCATTTATTTTAAGGTAAAGTTGTGAGTTTGGGAGTCATTAAATTCCCCCCAAAAAGCTGTGAGTTGTGATGTTGAAGATGAATGGGGTTAGGCCATTAACTTAGGTTGCATTAGTGTCCAAATGAGGTCCGTCTCAACGTTGTCGTTGAACTCCAAATTTAAACAAAGTTTGTTCGAGGTCAAGTTTTGTGTTAAGATTAAATTTTAGACCTGCGATACACATTTTAATTTGCAATCCTAATTTTCATCTTTAAATTTGTTCATATATTTTGTTGCACGATTTGCTGTTTTTGTAACTAGATGAATATATCATTCCAAAAAAAAAAAAAAAAAAAAATACAAACGAGGAAACTAATATAAGATGAAAAAATAACGATGTCGCAGATGTGTTCTTTGAAATTAAATTTAAGTAGGTGTCTTAGGGATGGAATGAATGATGATCAATGGAAGTCTCTTTTTTGTTTCTTTGTTTATTTATTTACATTTTTGTCATGAAATGATTATCTAGTTTGAATTCTCATTTTTTAGCAAAATTTGTACAAGTTGAAAAATCAAACTAGATCATCATTTTGGGACTAAATTCAAGGAGTATTTTTTCCAAACCACAATTCAAGTTGGGATTCACAATCTGAATATCACATTTTCTTAACTTACTTATCTACTCCTAAACATCACCCTCAAAAATCATCCCATTTTAATAATTACATTGAATTTGTTGTTAACTGCTATTTTTAAGCTCTTCAAAGAGCTCAAGAAGCAAAAAACCATACATGCATAATGAGCTGATACATGTAGTTAGAACGTTTTGTGACAGAGTTATAGATCGTGGCAAGATACAATGGCTTCAGCTTTAGTTAACTGAATGAACGAATGAATTGAGATAACTGAACGATATAATACTGAAGGTTGCGATATAACCAATTAAATTTTAAGATAAAATCACAGTGAATTAAAGTTCTAGAAATGGATATGAGAAAAAAAAAAAAATCAATCATTAGTCATACTCGTACACTTTAGAAACCATACAATATATATAACAAAGGGAGAGGCTTTTTAATTAATTTATTTTATATGAGATAGTTCACTGTCTTACAAAATTAAAAGAGAGCTGAAACTGGTAAATTCACCATTATCTGGTGGGTGTTATTGTACTTGCATGAAACCGGGCAGCGGCGACCAGTAGTAGTCAATGCCAAAATCATCAAGACAAAGGGTTTGATAATTATTGCTGTAAGATATTGATGGTGTATCCAAGTCGAAGGGTTGATTCCAGAAGGAATCCCAATCGATGATCGGGTCCATCATCGTCGTCATCGGAGGTTGTTCTACTGCTGGACTAGTAGTCATACAATATTCCTCAGCTCCTGCATGAACACTTAAACATGAAAGATCAATACTACAGCTTAATGATGATAGATCACTGAAAATATGATCACCGCCGCCACCACCACCACTAGCGACGATGATCGGGTCCATCATCGTCGTCATCGGAGATTGTTCTACTGCTGGACTAGTAGTCATACAATGTTCCTCAGCTCCTTCATGAACACTAAAACTTGAAAGATCAATACTACAACTTAATGATGATAGATCACTGAAAATATGATCACCGCCACCACCACCACCACTAGCGACGACATTGTCGTTGCTGAGGTGGTCATTCTCCATCGTCTTCTCCTCCACTTCCTCCGTCATGATGGCCATTGATCTCCTTCGCATAAGGTGAGAGTGCCAATGATTCTTGATGTCATTGTCAGTTCTTCCGGGCAATTTTGATGCAATCACCGACCACCTTAAAAGCGCAACCCAATGGGGGACAAAACGTTAATTATCACTTGATCATGAGTTTAACTAACTACTTGATTAGATTAAAAATAAACTTAGTATGAAACTATTACCTGTTGCCAAATTGTTGATGCAATTTGAGAATGAGGTTCTCCTCTTCCGGGGTGTAATTTCCCCTTTTCACCCCAGGTTTCAGGTAATTCTCCCATCTCAATCTGCAACTCTTTCCACATCGATTCAAACCTGAACAAATCAAAACACCCACCAACATCTTTTTTCAATCACCAAAAAAAAAAAAAAAAAAAGGAGTTCATAGTGAAACCCTTCTACTTTTTCTTTCTTTGTAAGCCGGGATATATTGGTGGAGCTTACCGGCAAATTTAGGAAGCTGCCGCCAGTTGGGACGAGGACCATGGAGTAGGACATAGGATCTCAGCTTGTTGTCTTCATCTTCACTCCAAGCACCTTTCTTCAGTCCATTCTTTTTGTCAATAAATGGTCCTCTCACCATTATTATTTAGCTACTCACTAAAGTAGTTTTTCTTTTTTCCCGGCTACAGAATCTAGGAAATGGAAGTTGTCGAGTGTTAGCACACCACACATAGTGGAGGAAATAGGTACTAATCTATTTTATATATGACAATCCGTTTCAGCGAAAAAGAAAAAAAAAGAAAAGAAATGCTAATAACTACAAAACACCGCGTTTCTTCTATAAAATAATATGAGGGTCCAGAATCCACACCGAGTTCATCCACTTCATCAAATGTCATCTGATGTTTTGTACACCTTAATGTGGAATTACTATTTTTATTTTATTTTTTGGTAAGAAATACAACAACTGGATTTACTTTTTTAGATTTCTACTGATGGGGGGAGGGGTAATTTCTGATCAATTTTAGTATTGTTATTAACAATCGTAATTGTAATACTTAACATATTCTAATCACATTTTTTTTTTCTAAGTAACGCGGGACACTTTATTGGCTATCAATTAAGTACTACCCAGGAATCCAGTAAAATTGAGACTGATAGCTTGACGTCAGGGCTGATATCACGGGTTGCGAATAAGATTGAATTGGTCGTGCTTTGGGTGGACTGCAGAGTGCAGACCATTCAGTTTGTAACTGTTAATCTCTTATATTACTTGAAGTTAGTCTAGATTTTTAGGTGCGTACAATTCCTTTTGTTCAAATTGGTTCATTGTGTGTATACTTGTGAAATAGTACACGTGAAATTCCTAAAAACTAGGAAAATTTTATGAGACCAAATGAATAATTGAAAGATACTCCCTCCGTCCCATAATTATTGTCTAGTTTTACTAAAATGAAAGATTTTATTTTTGGTCAAATTTAACTATATTTTACCTTAAACAACTGGATATACCCCTACATAAGTAATTGTTTAACCACTAAGATTTTATGGATAATGTTTTTTACTAAGGACAAATGTGTAACTTGATCCATAAAAAGTCAAATTGGACAATAATTTTGGGACAAAATTTTTTAGATAAAGTGGACAATAATTATGGGACGGAGGGAGTATAACATAAACCATAAAGCTAAATTGTAATAAGGAAGAACAAAAAAAATGTTTCATAACTCAATTTACATATCATTTAATTTTTGACTCACATTTGTATTTGCATTCTAAACTTACTTAATTTATTAAGATCTCCTACTTTAAATTATCAATAACACTAAAAATTAAGTCATTAATTAGTTAAATTTTTAATCATTTAAGTTGTTATGAGATCACATTATCAAACAATGTCAATGTTAATTACTTAATTACTCAAGTTTAAGTACTGAATGAGTTTATCAAACAGTACCTAAATTTGAAGGTTGAATTCACGTTGTTTAATAACAATGACTAAATTTGGTGTCTAAATACTGAATTATGAAGTCTAAATAAATACTGAGGATGTTATGTTAGGTTTTCGTTGCCAACAATATTAATTTAAAACCCTTCTTATTTGATGTTAGGGTTTTATTGGGAAGAAGTAAAATGGAATTGGGTTTTATAAGTTGTACTTTGCACGGGCTGTAGAATGCAAGGTATCAGGTATAAATGGGCCAGAAACAAGCAAAGTCGGTAAGCAATTTGTTTTGGACTAAACGGCTAAATCAATCTCTTCAATATGAATTTTAAGGCTGCTTTACTAGAAGTAAGAAAGAGACTTATTTTTCGACATGATTGCAATATGGCTTATTATGAGATAAATAAATCAAACTAAAGCCACGAATAAACAGCTTATATATGCTAACGCAAATGCTGCTGATAGATATTGGCAATTTATGTCAATCTTTTTCTATCAATTTGGGTTGATTGAATTCCAGTAAAATTTACGAAAATATTTATTATCTTAAAAAAATGTGAATATTTATTATCTCAAAAATGAATGTGCTAATTTTATGTTACACTTAATTATTATGTGATACTAATTGATGTTTTGATACGAGTACCTATTGATTGATCCTTCAATCACTAAACCCATTACTATTGATCCGTTTCTTTTTGGGCGTTACTCTCTCTATTTTAAAAAGTAAGTCATTTTAGGCTTTGCACGTAAACTAATGTGACAATTATCTAACAATTAATTTATATATTAAATATCTGTTTTATCCCTCATTAATTACATTAGAACTATGAAACAAGACTAGATGAAAATATATTGACATCATTTATTGAGGGTAAAGTTGAAAAATAGTCATTAATTTGCCTAGAATTTATAAAACGATCTATATTTTGAAAAATCTCTCCGAACCTAAAACGATTTATAAATTGAAATAGAAGAAGTATCAATAACACTACTAATTCGGTCTTAGACATTCGTTTGTCTTCATAATAAATTCACAAAACTAATTTAGCTTTTGAGGTGTACTTAGAAAACTTTGTCTTATGTACTTGGTTCACGAACCTCATAGAAGGGGTTATGTATTGATGGGGATAACCACAAAAATTAAAATGAAACTTATTACAAAAAAATAATAATAATAACAAAATGAAATGAGACAGAGACTCAGATAAGTTTATTAATCAAGTTCAACATTACTTATTACTTAACTGCCCGGCGGCTTTTATGTTTCTGGCATGCATCATTGTCAACCACCAAATTCTTAATACTTTGGTAAATCTACAAGACAAGTCCTTATTCGTTAAAAAGGTGAACCATTGACATCATGCCATGTGCCGCTACGTAAGCATAATTCCCTGTGAACAATTTTATATCTCAAGTTGGTGACGGCTTTTTGAAATAAAATAAAATAAAATAAACTTTATGACCCCGTTAATCCTTTTTTGTTTTTTTTTTTTTGGGAAAAAACCATGAATGTATACGCATTCATGGTAACGTCACCTTATTAATAAGTGAAATAAGAAAATTGAAGAAATAGGGTAAACATTTTTCTGTAAACGATTAAAAATTAAAATACTTGAAAATTTTGAATTTTGAACATGTGAACTAATTAAAAAGATTTGTCTGGTTGTCTACTTGTCTCAATCATCATGTCTAGATTAAAGAAAATTGCATAGAAAATGTTTAGAAAACGGAACAAATTAGAAAACCATTGTACATGCATGCACGGTTCAACGTATTTTCTGAGTGGGTCATTCCTCATGATTTTCCAGGAATAGACGCGACCCAAGGCTTCTTTATCTTGGATTATGCTTTACAGGAAAAAAAAAAAAAAAAGAAGAAGTATATATAGACACGCAGAAATTATACAAATTAATTAAGATATATCGAAAGGACGTACATAAGAGATGGAACAAATCTTATTATGATAATTCCAAGTCACATGTAAGCATTACTCGGTCTTATTCCAAATTGCTTAATCTATCATAGATCGTACAACTAGAGTTTTTATTATCATCATCTAGAAAATTTTATCCGAGATGTGTATTCTTCTTGTTGCCATTTTTTTGCCTTCCTCAAAATTCTGTGACCATCATACTCGAAATCCTTTCATTTTTCTTTTCCTCTCAGTTTTATTGTCTTGCTAAATTATCAGACGTTTTGAAATGGGAAGATGAAATAAGATCACTAAATCATGATAAATAAGCTAGCTATTGATATTTTGATCAGTTTTCTTCCTCTTCTCCTTCTTATCAATTATCATTATTACGTGTTGGGCCCGAGTTCCCCTCAAATTGGGCCCAACAGTGATTGAAACCAAATCAATTTGGTTTTAGGAACAAAACCCACTCCAATTGGATTTTTTGTTTTTTAGGTTTTTTTGCTCTATAAAAGCAAGGCTTTGGCATAATTTTTAGATGTGTATTTTTCAGCCAAGAGAAAAGAACAATTTGGGCAGCCGTGCATCGTTTTTGTACGAGAGAAAAAGAAAGAAAGCTAGGGTTTAGTTTTCGGTTTAACTCTCTTTTGGTTAGATCCTTCCAGTCCTACTTTGTGATAAGTGTGTGTGTAAGAGTATTGTTGTAATCCACCTTTGGGTGAAGTCCTGTGTATCCACTAGTCGGTGAAGACTGTTTTTCCATTATTGTGATAGTGGAGATTTGACTGTTGTTACAGTCCCGTGGTTTTTCCCGATTTGGGTTTCCATGTAAATTCACGTGCATCTTTTATTTTATCAGTTCTTGAATCAGTTGCTTGTTTGGGTGGTTGTCCTATTTTATTGGTAGTAGGAAAGGGAATTTTCTTGGGATTCGCTTCAGTGGTGTGTTGTATTTATACCCTTTCCGCCACAACAGTGCCATGAGCTAGTTCGGTAGTTGAGGTGTAACACCAATAAAATGGAAGTGTCATCGGACTGCTGTACGATGATTAAATTGACTTCATCCAATTATCATATGTGGAAGCCTAGAATGGAAGACTTGTTGTATTGCAAAGATTTGTTTGATCCTGTTATAGGGGATGAAGGTAGGCCAAGTGATATGACTGATAAAAAGTAGGCTGATAT